AAGAAAGAAAGAAAGAAAGAAAGAAAGAAAGAAAGAAAGAAGGAAAGAAAGGAGGAAAGAAAGGAGGAAAGAAAGGAGGAAAGAAAGGAGGAAAGAAAGGAGGAAAGAAAGGAGGAAAGAAAGGAGGAAAGAAAGGAGGAAAGAAAGGAGGAAAGAAAGGAGGAAAGAAAGGAGGAAAGAAAGGAGGAAAGAAAGGAGGAAAGAAAGGAGGAAAGAAAGGAGGAAAGAAAGGAGGAAAGAAAGGAGGAAAGAAAGGAGGAAAGAAAGGAGGAAAGAAAGGAGGAAAGAAAGGAGGAAAGAAAGGAGGAAAGAAAGGAGGAAAGAAAGGAGGAAAGAAAGGAGGAAAGAAAGGAGGAAAGAAAGGAGGAAAGAAAGGAGGAAAGAAAGGAGGAAAGAAAGGAGGAAAGAAAGGAGGAAAGAAAGGAGGAAAGAAAGGAGGAAAGAAAGGAGGAAAGAAAGGAGGAAAGAAAGGAGGAAAGAAAGGAGGAAAGAAAGGAGGAAAGAAAGGAGGAAAGAAAGGAGGAAAGAAGAGAACGACACGTGAGGAAAGAGAGAGGAGAGAGCAAAGAGACAAAACAGAGAAGGAAAGATGAAGGAAGGACGGACAGAAGGAAGGAAGAAAGGCCATTGCCAGGGGACAAGGGTGCAGGCCGGGGTCCATCTCCCCGTAAAGCAGGCACCCAGGGTCTCCTTGGGGGGAGCCGGGGGGGGTCCGGGGGTCGCAGCTCTCACCTTTGAGGCTGGAGGTGCCGACAGCGGGCACGGCGGGGCAGGAGGACTGGGCGAAGCACTTGAAGGCCGTCTGCTCGTTGGAGGACTCGTCCGAGGTGGGGTTCTCCTTCTTCTGCCTCTCGTCGTACACCCGCATGGACTGCAGGGTCAGCTGCTTCCTGCGGGCACACGCACCCCCGCTGGGCAAGCGGACCCCAAAAAACCACCAACCCCCCCAGGAGCCCCCCCATCCCTTCCCGAGTCCCTCTTTGGAGATGAGAGGGGCAGGGGAATTAAGGGCTAAGGTCCTCTCCAGTTTTGGGGTGGGGGGTATTTCAGGACTTGGCTACTAATGAGAAGAGATTTCTTGGAAGCGTGAGCAGCTCCTCAGCAAGGGCAGATATTAAAGACAAGGGGCAGGGGGGGCGGGGGGGGGGAAGAGAGGGAAGCATTCCCTGGAGATTAGCTTTTAAAACGCGAGGATGTTCCAGAGATATGAGCCATCTTAATGGTTGCTAAGATCGCGAGGAAGTGGTTATTTTGTTAGGCACTTTATGTAATCTTTTCACCAACAATTAACCCGGAGTAAAAAAAAAAAAAAAAAAAAAGAAATCTATTTATATTTAGAGAGAAATTAGAAATCATTTCCGTCCTGTGGCTCCAGCGTTGGCTTTATTTTCACACTGACGGACAAGAGGAGCTGGCGTGTGTGTGTGTGTGTGTGTGTGTGGAGATTAGCTTTTAAAACGCGAGGATGTTCCAGAGATATGAGCCATCTTAATGGTTGCTAAGATCGCGAGGAAGTGGTTATTTTGTTAGGCACTTTATGTAATCTTTTCACCAACAATTAACCCGGAGTAAAAAAAAAAAAAAAAAAAAAAAAATCTATTTATATTTAGAGAGAAATTAGAAATCATTTCCGTCCTGTGGCTCCAGCGTTGGCTTTATTTTCACACTGACGGACAAGAGGAGCTGGCGTGTGGGTGTGTGTG